GTGTGTGTGTGTGTGTGTGTGTGTGTGTGTGTGTGTGTGTGTGTGTGTGTGTGACTGAATGCAAGTGACAGGCGCGGCCACATCTCCGCGCATTTTGTGCCTTTCCGTGCTATGACGTGAAGTGACAGCTGCCCGGTTCTCTTAAGGCACTAAGTCTTCCCCAGCCTCAGCATTGTTGACGTTTTGAAGCAAGCAACTGGCTGTTGCTAGCGACGCCCCGTGTCTTGTGAGACTCAAGCGTCCTGCTCCAGGCTCACTGCTGCCACGAGGCTGTCTCCTCTGCAGGCCCCGCGGTGTGGAGACCTGTGCCTGGTTGGCGCTACAACTCTCTGTGGAGCACTGTTGTCGCTACAGGGGGCTGTCTAGAATGACTCTGTCTGGAAAGATGTCATAGAAAGTGCTGGCATCTAGAGCCCTAAGTCCTGTCAGACCCCATCAGCACTGCCAGCATTACCCATGGCTTCAACCGGACATTAACCCAGGTCCCCCCATAAATGAGGACGTTCAGTGTTTTCAATGTCTTGTGCCTAACTTCTCTAATCCCATACCCGATCCCTTGATGTTGTCTGGTTCCTGCTGAAAATTTATTCCACTCTATGTCCCAGAAAGTGATGTTGAGAACTGGACAGCATATCTACCAAACAGCATTCACATGCCTCATCCTGGTCACGGGTGCATGTGTCATGCGTGTGTGTGGAAGTGAAGAACGTGTGCAGAGCCCCACTGTTTGCACTTGTGGGGTTTAAGGAAGAGGGGTTAATGTATAAATATAAATTGTTCAATAGTAGATAAGTGTAATATAAAGTCATTTTGGGTGACTGTTGCTTCAGCAATTCGTTCTCTTAAGAGAACCCTAAATACGGATGCCGGGAGTTTGAGAGCAGCCTGGATGCATAGTGAGCTCCAGGCCGGACTGGTCTGAGACAAAGTGTGAAATCCTGTCTCAGCTGAAGCAAGGTGTGGTGATGTACCCCTACACTCCTGTGCGTGGGAGGTTAGCACAGGCTTAGCAAGTTCCGGGCCAGCCTGGTCTACACAGAAAGGCCATATTTTTTTTTTAAAGAAAAATATAGTGTTCTCTTAAAATCAAAGCAATGACCTTGTAACATTCTGTTTATCTTGTGCAATTGAGAATTTACCTGCATTTTTTTTCTTTTTCTGAGAGCTAGAGCCTGTGGGAATATTGAACTTTATAAAGCAATAAAGTTGTTTTTGGTGAATAATGTGAAATTTGAGATAGGTATGAACCTATTTCTCAACCATTTCTTGAAGAACACTAGTCTGAGTAAATTAATCTTTTTATGTTTGCCTTTGCTAATCAAAGTTTTGGAGTACCTACTGGGTGCAGAATACCATCCTGGGCCTTTTTTGGAGGGAAAGTTAAAATATTCCATTTGCGGTGGTTTCCTGGTGTGTGGTTACCGTCAATCCTGAGACCTGGAGCACCTAACGCGTAGCTTTGCTGATTTCCAAGGTGCAAAACTCCCACCATGACCAATACCAAATTACCAGCATGATGTCACTGAACCTGGAACTGGATGAAAACTTGCAAAATCGACTTCAAACAGCCAGTGACCCAGGTCCAGCACACCACTGTGGCCATTTCTGACCTCACAGTCTGCGGCTGTTAGGGAGTTAGAAGATGCATGTTCAGTAGCATGTAGAGCAGCTGGTCTCCAAATGTAAGCTAGAAATATAAAGGGCGCGAGTCAGAGTCAAGGGCATAAGCAGAACCAGTTCTCACGGGTGATTTGGAGCAGTTGTTGGGGGTTGAGCCTGTGAAGGAGAGAGCACCTTAATCTAAGCATTGAAAAGGGGCAACAAAAGCCTGGTGTTTACACTTTAGGGTAGGTGGAGTTGGAAGAAATAGAGGACACATCTGGGGAAAGGCAAAAGTTAAGCTTTGTGTTTGGGACGGGGGAATAGTAGTTGATCATAAATAATAGGCTAGGGGGCTGGAGAGATGGCTCAGCGGTTAAGAGCATTGCCTGCTCTTCCAAAGGTCCTGAGTTCAATTCCCAGCAACCACATGGTGGCTCACAACCATCTGTAATGAGGTCTGGTGCCCTCTTCTGGCCTTCAGACATACACGCAGACAGAATATTGTATACATAATAAATAAAATAAATAAATAAATAAATAATAGGCTAGGAAACCCATTTTGTAGCAGAGACCTCCAGTCAGGAAGTTCCTAAGACAATGCTGGTTATAACAATTGCCTTAAGACTGGGGATGTAGCTCTGTGATTGCTGAAACACACACACACACACACACACACACACACACACTTGCAGTATATTCCAAACTATTAGAGGAGAAGACCCTGAAGATTCCCGACATAGATGTTTGAGGGACAAAGAGCTGGTTACCCAGATTTCACCCTTGCACCCTTGACTCAGATCACAGCACGGTACCCTGCTTGTATGTGCAGGTATTAGGTACCAGCAAAAATTATTTTAAAAGTCTGTAGTTGGAGGAGATGACAGAGGGAGAATGCGGAACTCATTATGGTATTCTGGACCCAGAGTGACGGCTTTGAAGTAGACGTGGGAAGGGGGTTCCGGGGGTTCTGTGTGCATTTGTCAACTGATGGGGCACAGAGCACGAAGGAAGGACAAAGGTGACAGGAATTGACATGGAAGCCACTAAAGGTGCTAGAAAAGGTGCTTGTTGCACTTGAGGAATTGAGCCTTTAAATTCATTTCAGGGATAATATGTATAAGATAAGGGGCCTAGCAAATCTGGGAGCTGAGACAGAGTTACCAGGAGTCATCTCTCTGACTGAAATCTGATGAACTGAGAGAACGTGTGAGTGCTGGCATCAGCTGTGTGGTGTGCGCCCTCTTCCCTGACAGCATCTCACTCTATCCACTCTTCACAGGTTGTGGCACACGGCCTGTTTGGGGAAAGAAAATGAAATAATGGTCTTTGGCGGGAGCAAAGATAACTTGCTTTTCTTGGATACAGTAAGCAAATCTTATGTTTAAACATTCTCTGAGGAATGATATTCCAACAGCTACTCAGCAGTGTTGTAGCTATGGTAACCGCAGGACCACGAGTGTTGCCTGGAGGACCACCCTCCCAAGTCACAGACTTCGTGATGTATGTCAGGGTACTTCAGGTTTATGCGCTAAGATCAGTCTACTAATTTCACTAGTTAAGTTACTAAAAAGGGCTTTCTCCCTCCAGTGCTGGGCTTGGACCTAGGGCCTTGTGCTCACACACACTGGGCTAGCACTCAACCCCCACACCACAGTCCTGGCTCCCTTTTCTGTTTCTCCCTGAGCTTTGCCACAAATGAGCACTTGTAGTTTAAATGTATTGAAATGTCTTTATATAAAAAAATACATAATCACAGTAATGATCATCCAGAGAATTTAAAAAAAAATTTTGTTCCTTTTTTGAGACAGGGTCTCACTATGTAGACCTGGTTGTGCTATAACTCACTATATAGACCAGGCTGGCCTCAAACTCACAGAGATCCAGCCACCTTTTCCTCCTTAGTGCTGGGATTAAAAGATGTGCGCCACCATGCTTGTCACCCATAGAATTTATTAATGGAAGAAACAAGACGGGGCAATCCTTCTAAATCTCATGGGTTAGCATCTCCCAGGAAGAAACTGTTGAGTTTCTTGGTATTTTCTGGGGTTTTACCACTGCTGCCCATCTGTTTTACATTTGAGTTTTAAGCGTTTCAGCTTTGGCATGCTATAAAGTCAAAGGACTACACAGGTCCCATTTGGGGAGCCTTGGGAAGTGCAGAGCAGCTGGCCACTCCCCCTGCTGCACGGGATGGACAGGCACTGAGTGCTCCAGCTTGCATAGGATGCCACAGAATTTCAGGACTGAGTATGAGGGCTGGCCACAGCGAGCCAGAGTCACCAACAAGGCACTAGCTCCCTTACTTGTCCTGAGGCACAGATGGCTTCTGCAGAGTGACAAACCTTGAAAAACGGTGGCTTCTCTGCAGAGACTTGGGTTGGCCTCGTAGTGTGTGGCCACCAGCTCAGACGTGTGCAGTGAACTCTATACTGTTTCCAGCCTAGGACACAGTGCTCTTAACTAAAGCTCTAGTGCCACTTAAATAGTTAGCTGGCTTAGTTAAATGGAAAAGGCCCTGGCTTCCAATCCCATCACTGCCCCTCCCCCAGTGGAACATTTGTGGTTTGTCTTATTTTTCTTGGCACTGGAATGCCTTGTTCAGAAGATAGGTATGGTGGTACATTCCTATACCCAGAACTTGCTCAGGAAGCTCAGGATGAAGAATTGAGGGTTCAAGGCCAGCCTGTGCTATACAAAGAGACCCTGTCTAAAAATATTTTCAAAATGAACAACGAACAAACCAACAAAAATAAAAAACCCTCTTCTTAGAATGTAAAACTTACCTGGCAATGGTGGTGCAAGTCTTTAATCCCAGTTCTCAGGAGACAGAGGCAGGTGAATCTCCGTGAATTTGAGGCCATCCTGACCTCCAAACGCAAGTTCCAAGACAGCAAGGACTGTTACAGAGAGAAGCTCTGTCTCGAGAAACTTAAAAATCTTTGCCAGTTGGTTGTGGCATATGCCTTTAATTCCAGTACTTGGGAGGCAGATCTCTAAGTTTAATACCACCCTGCTCTTTAGGGTAAGTTCCGGGACAGCCAGGGCTACACAAAGATGCCCTATCTCAAAAATCAAATATTAAAATAGATAATAATAACATTTTCAATACAAAGAAAGATTTCATGGGGATGCCAGGTGTGGTTTGGTTGCCAAGTCACAGTACTCAGGAGGCTGAGGCAGGAGAATTACCACAAATTCAAGAGTAGCCTAAGTTCCAGCCTAGCCTGAGTTGTACAGAAAATCCTTATTTGAAAATAAAACAAACATGGAGGAGGTGGCGCTCACTGGGGACCTGCTTGCCTCTCAGAGGAAGGCGTCAGTGCCCAGGAGAACCTCCTGGAAGATGGAGATGGGGCACAGGGCCTTTCAGGGTAAGAGTCATTTGGCAGAAATCTGTTTAATGAGACAAATATTAATTAGTTCTATTACTGTTTCTCAGAGAGCTGTCTCCTATTTTTAAATTTGTAATTATATTGGGTATTGACTTGGTAAAAATTTGGTTACTGAAATTTGTATTTTTCCAAATAGGAAAAATATGTATGCAGATGTATGTATGTGGTTATATACACGTGTATGCTCATGTACATGTGTGTTACTAGCTAAAGAGAAATTTATTGACTATTTTATACTTATACAATAGAAATCATGTATAGTTAAAGCTGTTATTTTCTTTAAATCCTTAGTAAGACTTTTTTTTTTTGACTAGGGTCACTGTAACGATTTATTGATCTTTCAAACACAGCCCTATTCACTGCTCAGGTAAGTAAATATAGTATTTTTCATATATATAATGTCATGTGTAAAAGTGTGTGTTTACCCAGCATTCACAAGGCCCTGGGCACAATCTGCAGCACTGTATAAACAGGACATGGCATCTGGTGTCTGTAATCCCAGTACTCGGGAGGAGGAAACGGGCTGAAGAGTTCAGTCTCTTCAGCTATGTAATGAGTTTGGTTTTAGGGGATTATTGTTGTATTGGGTCTTTTTTTTCTGTTTTTTTTTTTTTTTTTAGAGAAACCCTAAAGCTGGGTGGGTGGGGAAAGGGAGAGGATCTAGAAGGATTTGGGGTAAGGAAGAATATGATCAAAATATATTTAACTTAAAAATGTTTTAAATAATAAAAAAGCTGGGCAGTGGTGGCAAATGCCTTTAATCCCACCACTCAGGAGGCAGAGGCAGGTGGATCTCTGTGAGTTCGAGGCCGGTCTGGTCTACAAGACCTAGTTCCAGGACAGACACCAAAGCTACAGAGAAACCTTGTCTCAAAACACCAAACAAATAAACAAATAATAAAAAATTTAAGTTTTTTAAAAGGAGGGAAATTCTGACGTGAGCTATAACGTGGATTGACCTTTAAGATATGCCTAGTGAAAACTGTGAGTCACAAAAGAACCAATGCTGTGTGGCTTCATGTGTCTGAAGTAGCCCGAGTGAGAACACGCATGTGGACAAAGGGTGGATTAGAGGTAGCCAGAGTGGGCACACACGTGTGTGGACAAAGGGTGGATTAGAGGTAGCCAGAGTGAGAACACGCGTGTGGACAAAGGGTGGGTTAGAGGTAGCCAGAGTGGGCACACACATGTGGACAAAGGGTGGATTAGAGGTATCCAGAGGCTTGGCTGGGGAACGGGAAGTCGGTCTAACATGGGTTCAGGGTTCATCTAAGGAGGATGGAAAGATTGTGGGGATGGCGGGTGTGGTGCCTGCAAGTCCTTAACAGTGTGGAACTGTTGGCATGGAGAAGTCTGTGCTCGGTTTACTTTAGCTTAGCTTTAACAATAATAAAATGTCTGTTAAACAATGAAAAGGAAAAATGCGTCCTATGAATATGTGATAATCTCTTGTTGTTCCTTTGGGGAGGAGTCATACTATCTTACAGGTAGTTTATTACTTGAATTCAAGAAAATATTTACATCTGCCTAAGAATAAAAGCCAGATGTGGTGGCACAGGCCTTTAGTTGCACACTCAGGAGGCAGAGGCAGGTAGATCTTGTGAGTTCAGGCCAGTCTGGTCTAGATAGCAAGTACAAGGCCACATAAAGCTACATAGTGAGGCTGTGTCTCAAAATAAACAAATCTTTATCTCATCACTCGGGAGGGAGAGGCTATAGTTCAACTTTCTGGAAATCAGAATATGTCTGCTAATGTCATATATAATATATGGTATAAATATATTTACAGATACACTTAAAAGAATTTAATCTGGGATTGGTGGCACACACCTTTAAATCCAGCACTTGGAGGCAGAGGCAGGCAAATCTCTAAATTCAATGCTAACCTGTCTACAGAGTGAGTTCTAGGACAACCAGAGAAAGCATGTCCCAAAAAACCAAGTGATGATGATGATGATGATGATGATGATGATGAAAGAATTTTGTTTAACTCCAAAGCTGTTTAGCTGCTTGGACACATGATCCTCTGTCTCCACGATGCTGGGATTGCAGATGTGCCCTCACACCCAGATGACACAATCACGAGGAAGTAGATTCAGCAAAAGAGAAAAACAAGCAGACATTGGCTGAACAGATACTCTTCTTTTTGACATAGTAGCTGGGGCACAGCTAGTAGGAAGGGTGTCCAAGCAACTAAACAAGCGTATGGTGAGCCAGGTCGGATTTCTCGGTGATTGGGCTTGAATGAGTGGAAGGGAAAATAAGGTGGCCTGGGAGCTGGAGACCAACCCTGGACCACCGTACTAGGCTGATGCTGGATGTATTCTTTTTTTGTGTTTTTTTTTTCCCCTCGTTTTTCGAGACAGGATTTCTCTGTGGTTTTGGAGCCTGTCCTGGAACTAGCTCTTGTAGACCAGGCTGGTCTCAAACTCACAGAGATCCGCCTGCCTCTGCCTCCCGAGTGCTGGGATTAAAGGCATTTGCTCGGCACTGAATGTATTCTTATATGTCAAAGTTTGAACATGAGGACTAAGGAGGTGGCCCAGTCAGTAAAGTGCTGGCCACGCAGACATGAAGACCTGAGTGTGGATCCCCAGCACCTGTGTTCAAAGCCCCACAAGAGTGGGTGCTTGTAAGTCCACTGGGGGGGTGGAGACTGTCGAGTCCCTGGCGCTGGCTAGCATCAGTCAGGCTAGTCAAACAACTGAACTCCAGGTTCATCATCAGCATCATTATCAGTAATAATATGTGGAGAATCATCATAATCACAATGTAGTGGAGGGTGCTTTGGAAGACTATGTTCACCTCTGGTCACTTTACATGTACATATGCACACATGCACACACACACGAACGTGTACCCATGCATACACTCATATACCACTCATATAAATATTGTTATTTTCTGTGTCCAAGGGTTTTACTTGCATTTATGACTGCACACCACATACATGCCTGGTTTCCATGGAGGGTGTCGGATGTGTGTGAGCCACCGTGCATGCTGGGAATCATACCTAGATCCTCTGGAAGAGCAGCCAGGGCTCTTGACCACTGAGCATCTCTCCAGCACAAGTTTCATAATTTTGTATTGTTTTTGTTTGTTTGTTTGTGATAGCTTCTCTGTGTAGCCCTGGCTATCCTGAACTTGCTCTGTAGACCAGGCTGGCCTCGAACTCACAGAGATCCACCTGCCTCTGCCTCTGAATGCTGGGATTAAAAGTGTGCACCACCACTACCTGGCAGCGCTTATAATTTTTAACTTTTAACTTTTCTGAGATTTCATATGTGAATATACTGGTTTTTGTAACATTTCCACTCCTCCCTCTTCTTTATTTATGATTATTGGCACATAGCAAGTTAATAAGTTAGTGTGACTCGGTGTCTTGTCCATCTGTCCCTCTGTCTTCTCTCATTTCGCCACTGGTCTTCCTGACCCTGACTTCTGAGTTTTGCTTTCCTTTTGGTCTTTATGGTCACTGGCAAGTGTTCTTCCATTTAGGTATATCTCTATCCCTGAATCTTCTAATGAAAGAATATTATGTGTGATGAATTGCATTTTCTATTTCCTTGAATTTTGCTCAGATATGACTTCTTTATTGTATAAAAAAAGCATGATTATTGTAGTGAACTAGAAAACTCTCGTATTGTAAAGAATATATATGTGTATACACACACACACACACATTGCCATCTAGAGTTTTTACATCAATTTTGTGAGAAAGAAAAAGGACTACTTAGCTTGTCAGGCATGAGAGGCACACTCCTGTAACCCCAGTTCCTGGAGAGGTTGACATGGGAGAATCACCTCAAGTTTGAGGCCAGCCTGGGCTACAGAGTGGGCCCATCTATTTTTGTTTTCTTTTGAGCTTCACACATGCTGGCAAGCACTGATGATATACAAAAATGTTCAAAAATAAGCAAACAAGGCTTGACGTGGCTCAGAGGTCAGGAGGACTTGTTGCTCCTCCAGAGGACCCAGATTTGGTTCCCAGCATCCATGGCAGGTGGCTCACAACCCTCTGCAGCTCCAGCTCCAGGAGATATGTGCCCTCTTCCGGCCTCTGTGGTGCTTGTACTCTCATGACATACATCCACACAGATACACACATACATAAAATAACACAGTGAATCCTGGGTTCAGAAGCTAACCGATAACCTGTGCTTTATCGACAGGTCATGTCTTGACTGCATTGGGAAAAATGCTATCATTTTAAAAAGTCAGATCTCTTTATTACCTCCTAAACTTCTGCAGCAAGTTCTCAAAAAAATAACATTTTGGACTGCAGCCAATTACCGAAAAGAGCAAAGAGTCCTAAAAGAAGAAACAGAAAATAAGCCGCAGCGGGTCAGTGGCCACTGAACTGCTCTAAGTCCCGTGTGTCAGCGCGGTTCAGTCAGACTGCACGTTTGACCTCCCCTCCAGCCGCAGGTTCTACTTAAAGGATAAAATCTGAAACAAATGTTTTGCTAATGTGATTACATGATATGGGATATATGGAAATAAGATGTAATTGAAGATTTATCTGTGTATTTCTAAAATGATTTACTTGTAAAAGATTACATGTTCTTTCTGGAAATAAGTACAGTAGTAACAGTTCTTAACTCGGTGTGTGCTTTTCTGGAAACATGTCCATTTGAAAAACAAATTACCCTAAAATCTCCAAAAATTCTGGATGTAGAAATGTGGATGTAGATATAAAAATACTGATTAATTACCATTACTTTAAGAGCACCCAAGTGTCTCCTTAAATATCATCAGAGCTTTCCATTCACCTGCCGAGCAGGGGAGCTTGTCTAGATAGTTCTGTCTGCACCGCCCAGGACCGGCTGACTGGAGGTTGGTTTGTCTCACAGGCTTTGAAATGCTGGGGTGTGTGATAACGGGCAGTTTTTGAGACATGGCTCAACTCACATTGCCTTGGGAAAGTGTCTCTAGAGTACTGTTTGCCAGCAATGTGGAGTGACCATCTGGTGGCATTGACTCTCTGATCCACGTTTGTGCTCTGCTGCCCCACAGAGTTGAGACTTTCTCTAGACACCGCTTGTCCTGACACAGCCCTTCGCTCTCGGCATCATTTAGTCAGAGACGGGAGACTGTACTCTTACATCCCTCAAAATGGTACTTTGGCCATTTTGAGACATGTTTCTTCATGTGCCCAGCCTTGTCCTTCCATCGACATCCGTGTTACAATTGATTACTAAAGGGTTCAATATATGACATAATCTCATCGCTGTCACCCTGTGAGTGATTGCTGAACTTTAAAATGCTGTAAAGTATATTTCTGTATTGTATATAATTTATAGTGAAAATTGTAGCATTGCATTAAACTGTAGATATGTTTTATAATGCTATATTTTGGATGTGTAAAGCTTCTATTTATGTATTGAAATAGTTTGTGTTTACATTTTATTTAGTGAACGCAGTATGCAGAATTAACACCTCAGTTTTTTCAGTGTGGACCAGTCAGAGTTCATGCCAGTGTGGGGCTGGCAACACGACTCTGGGTGTAAAAGGGCCTGCTGCACAAGCCTGGCCTGAGTTCCATCCCTGGCACCAACATAAGGTGGGAGGAAAGAACTAACACCGTAATGACTGCCCTCTGACCTCCACGTGTGCTATGGCACATGTGCTCAAACTGTAGTCAGTTAACACTGTTGGGCTGTCTATGAATGAGAACTATTGGGAGGGCACTATCAGGAGGGCACTATCAGGAGGGTGCTATCAGGAGGGCACTATCAGGAGGGCACTATCAGGAGGGCGCTATCAGGAGGGCACTATCAGGAGGGCACTATCAGGAGGGCGCTATCAGGAGGGCACTATCAGGAGGGCGCTATCAGGAGGGCACTATCAGGAGGGCACTATCAGGAGGGCGCTATCAGGAGGGCACTATCAGGAGGGCGCTATCAGGAGGTGTGGCTCATTGGAGGAAGTGTGTCACTGAGAATGGGCTCTGAGGTTTCAGAAGCTCAAGCCAGGCCCAGTGTCACTCTCCTTTCCCACTGATTTGGATGTAGAACTCTCAGCAACCTCTTCAGCACCATGGTGGCCTGCATGCCACCATGCCTCCCACCACGATGATACTGGACTAAACCAGTAAGCCGGTCCCAGTTAAATGTTTTCCTTTCTAAGAGTTGCTGCAGCCATAGTGTCTCTTCACAGCAATAGAAATCCTAAGACAATGAAGGAAATCTTATTTTTTTTTTTACTCTTATTTGTTGAGGCAGGGATTTGGGTGGCACATGAGATCAGAGAAGAACTTGTACCATGTAGGTTCCTGGGACCCAACTCAAGTCATCAGCTTGGCTTCAGGTGCCTTTACCACTGAACCACCTTTGCTCCAAGAATCCTGTCTTAGACCAACTTGAACCTTCTCTGGACTTGAGGAGATGGAGTGATGCAGAAGCGGTGGCTGAAGATGGAGGTCCTCTGTTTGGGGAGATTGTGTAGGATGTAAACATCAACATCATCATACATGAACACAGACAGCTCATGAAGTAGCATGGACAGTGCACCGCAGGAATGAACATAACATCATCATACATGAACACACACCAACATCATCATACATGAACACAGACAGCTTATGAAGAAGAATGGACAGTGCACCGCAGGAATGAACATCATCATCATCATCATCATGCATGAACACATATCAACATCATACATGAATAACGGCAGCTCATGAAGAAGGATGGACAGTGCACTGCAGGAATGAAGAGACCTGAAGCCCACGGCCTTTGGCACATTTATACACACAAACATTATAAATACAATTTTTTAACAGTTTATTTATTATGTATACAATATTCTGTGTGTATGCCTGCAGGTCAGACCTCATTACAGATGGTTGTGAGCCACCATGTGGTTGCCGGGAATTGAACTCAGGACCTTTGGAAGAGCAGGCAATGCTCTTAACCACTGAGCCATCTTTCCAGCCCCCTATAAATACAATTTTTAAAATTAAAATGTACCAAAGTTGACTGGGCAATGGTGGCGCACACCTTTAATCCCAGCACTCACGAGACAGAGGTAGGCTGATATCTGTGAGTTTGAGGCCAACCTGGTCTACAGAGTGAGTTCTAGGACAGCTAGGGCTGTTACACGTAGAAACCATGTCTCAAACAAAACAAAACAAAACAAAAAAACAACAACAAAAGGCAAACAAAAAACTCTACTGTCAAGTAGTCTACTTAAAATTAACATTTAACCATTGAAATATAAGAGAACTCAACTGTATATTAGCATAAAGCTCTACATAACCCTGGCTGTACCAGAACTCACAATGAAGACCAGGCAGGTCACAAATTCACAGAGATCCGCCTGTCTCTGCATCCAGAGCGCTGGGATTGAAGGAGTGCACCACCACCCCAGTTAACATAATACTTTTTTTAAACCTGTTTTCTAGGTCAAAATTCAAAATGGCAATGGTATTGTTTTGCATTTTTTATTAATATCCTCCATAGAAGACAGCTTGGTTCTTTTAGTGTGTGTGTGTGTGTGTGTGTGTGTATATGTGTGTGTGTATGCACATGCACGTAGAGAACAGCTTGTGCACTGGAGTTGGACCATGTGGGTCTCAGTGATCAAACTCAGGTTGTCAGGGCGGGTAGCTTTCTGTAATGGTCTCTGAATACCGCAGAGATGAGCTTCTTTGATAAGGGTGAGAGCTTTGTCTGTCTGTGGGCATAAGAGTGAGTATTTAGACTCCAGCTAGGAATTACACTTGTTTAGAAAAGTGGCCATCGTAGGTTCTCTGCCAATAGGCCTGAGCTCACTAGCCACAAGTATTTGGTTAGGTTTCCAGTACCAAGCGTCATTTTCCTCCTATTAATTGGGCCTGAAGTGCAATTAAACAGCTGCTGGCTACCAACAGGATGTGAGTGTCGCTGGTGCACCGTTAGGGATGTTGCATTCCTGTCTTTGGTGTGGTCTGTTGATCCCAGCTGGGCAGGATGCTGAGTGCTCTCCTCCCTTGCAGCTTGTTCAGCACCTTCTGCTACCACGAAGGCTGACCAGGGCTCAGGGATTCAGGCTAACAGTTGACAAGCAGGACCTCATAAAACTAGAAACATTAAGGAAACAAAGCTGTAAAGGAGAAAGCCCATAGAGAGGGAGAGAACTTTGCCAACTATATATCTGTTGCTGAAATTCCTGCTTGGGGGAGATGTAAAGCAATGCCTACACCTCCCAAGGTCCCAGACACAAACGGAGGCGTAATTTTGCAAAATTTCACTCTAGGGAACCAATGCATTTACTGGGTGGACCTCAGTAGAGTCTCCTTAATGGATACTCCTCCCCCAACCAGCCACACCTGAAAAGCGTTACCCAGCAGGGATGAGGATTTCTGTCCCCCTCAGTAGCCACAGACGGAGCCCCCAAAGTCTTCCCTGCCCCCAGGTCATGTGCAGAGCTACCAGGTGATAGGGAGGAGTTGGATCTTGGTGAAGATCTCCTGCCCTTCTTTCTATATTTGGGGGCGGGGTGTAAACCATCAATCAAACAGCCTAGCTGGGATGATCCTCTGCAAGGGGGGGACATGACTGAACTCCCCGAAATGGGGTTAGAACTGAACTCCCCAAGATGGTGGTCGCTTGGCTCTGAGGACCCTCATGATAACTTCTGACAGAGAATTGATAGATTGTATAAAGAACTCAAGAAACAAAGAATAAAGAAATCCACCCAATTCAAATGGGCCATAGATCTGGGCAGAGAGTTTTCAAAAGCAGAAATAAAATGACCGATACGTATCTCCAAAAGTGTTCGTCATCCTTAGCAACCAGGGAACGAAAAATGACAACAACTTTGAGATTTGATTGTTGGCCCAGACAGAACGGCTAAGGTCGAGAAAAGAACTGATGGTTGAAGTTGGCGAGCGTGTGGGGGAAGGGGAACCCCAGTCGCTGGTGGTGGGATCGCAGATTGGTGGAGCCATTATGCAAATCACAGAGAATTCTTGCGAAGCTAAAAATGAATCTACCATACGACTCCGCTGTGGTCCCCCTGGCGCACGCTCGAAGTACTTGACATCCTTCTCCACAGATGCGCAGCCACCCTCGCCCGCTCCGCTCACCACAGCCAGGAAATGGAAACAACCTAAATGTCCTTCAGATGCAGCTGGTGGACAATGAAAACGCGGTACACACTGTGGTACACATGTTTAGCCGGAACAGACAGTGAGATCGGGAACTTGGTAGGGAAGTGGAAGGAACTAGAAAATGTTATACCGAATGAGGGAACCCAGACCCAGAAAGACAAACGACACATGTACTTTCCCCTCTGTGGTTCCTAGCCACAAATCTTCAGATATGAGTCCATGACCTGCTGTAACCCTCGAAAGCAGAAAAGCAGAGAGGGGCCATGGGAGGGTGGGGTGAGCAGCACCGGAGACTAGCAGGGTGTGGGTGACACGAAGGGGGAAACGGGGAGAGTGGACGGACGGCGTCTAGGTGGGAAAAGACAATAAAGGAGATGACGGGTAAATAATACTAAGGATTTTTAACATGCCGTAGAGAATCATTTTATATAAGCTTAAAATTATACATAGTAAACATGTGTTTGGCATCTGCATGTATGTGTAGTTTCATGAAATTAAACTAAAATGGAAAAGTTATTATTTTATATACACCTAAAATTACATATAATAAGATTACATATAATAAGCGTCGGTGTGTCTGCGTGTATGTGTAGTTCAATGAAATTATTAAATTGTGTTATATACACCTAAAATAACATATAATAAAAGTGTGTGTGTGTGTGTGTGTGTGCACGCGCGCGTGTGCAGTACCCATATACATGAGGGTGCATATGTGTTCATGCATGTGCATGTGTAGGCTAGATGGCCTGGGCGTCTTCCTCAGTTGCTCTCCACCTTATGCTTTGGGACTGGGTCTCTCATTGGATGTTCGCCAACACAGGTAAGGACCTGCTTCCGCCTCCTCAGTGATGGGAGCACACAGCCATGCTCCTGCTCCGTTCTTACACCTTCTGGGGATCTGAACTCACGCCCTCCTGGTTGAGTTAGCACTTGGCCAACTGAGCCATCCCCTCAGGCATTTGTTTGTTTTGTTGACAAGGTCTCTCTGCAGCCCTGGCTGGCTTCAAAGTCATGGCAATCCTCCCTTCTCAGCCTTTGGATTGCTGGGGTTGAAATCACTATTCCTTCATTTGGAAATTGGATTGCTTTTTAAGTGATTTGGTTATAATAATTTCTACACTTCTTCCAAAAGTACGTTGTTATAAAAACGTAAGCTAAAGATCTTTTAAATTTTATTTTTAAACAAACTTTATTATAAAAAAAAATCTTGCAAGTAAATACATCATACACAAAAATTAGCCAGACCCAAAGTCTCTA